GGGCTTTTGGGCTTTTGGGTTTTTGGGCTTTTGGGCTTTTGGGGTTTTGGGCTTTTGGGGGTTTGGGTTTTGGGTTTTTTTTCGCTTTTGGGCTGTTGGGCTTTTGGGCTTTTGGGGTTTTGGGGTGTTGGGGTTTTGGGGTTTTGGGGTTTTGGGGTTTGGGGGTTTGGGGGTTTGGGGGTTTGGGGGTTTGGGGGTTTTGGCTCCGGCCTCGGGGGTTTTTAGGGTTGGGGCGTTTAGGGGCTTTGGGGTTTTCGAGTTCAGGGGCTAGGGAGCAGAAGTCTAGAGGTTTGCCTGAACAGCCCGGGACTCTGCTCAGAAGGGCCTGACCTTTAAGCCTGAACAACTCGTCAACCTTAACATTCCCAAACCCTAAACCCTAAACCCCAAACACTAGAACCCTCAAGCCCTTCTACCCGAAGACCCTTAAGCCCGACATTTCAAAACGGATGTGTTCGGGGCAGCTCCGATGGCTTGGGATGTGGGCCTACAAACCCCAAACGCCAAACCCTAAACCTTAAACCTTAAACCTTAAACCCTAAACCCTAAACCCCAAACCCTAAACCCTAAACCCTAAACCCTACACCCTAAACCCTAAACCCTATGCAAGGCCCGAGATGATCGGAGCCTTGTCGGCGTTTCTTCCTCTTCCGTGGCGTTGATTGTGGAAATCCCAAGTCAACTTCCGAGCCCGTAAGTGCGCAAGCCCTAACACCCTAAAGCCCTTCGGTTTGGGGTTTAGGGTTTAGGGTTTAGGGTTTAGGGTTTAGGGTTTAGGGTTTAGGGTTTAGGGTTTAGGGTTTAGGGTTGTGGGTTGAAGACCCCTAGAAATTCGTAGAGGTTCTTCAGGCGCCCCCCCTCCCCCCCCCCCCAAAAGAAAAAAAAACACCCCAGAGTTCCCGTGGCCCCAAGTGGAATGAACCCTGTGGCCCAAGGGACATCGTCTTAGAAGTAAGAATATTAGGAATGCTAATAAGCATCGTAGTATATAAACATACCAGGAATGGCAACGTGTGATATTTCGGCGGCACAGAGTAGTCTCAAGCTAAGATTTTGGGCTTTTCGAAGCTTGCACCATAACCCCAATCCCCCCCTCGCCTAAACCCTAAACCCTAAACCCTAAACCCTAAACCCTAAACCCTAAACCCTAAACCCCAATGTCTTCAAGGAGGTACCATCATGGCGAGCCCGTTAGGCTTGAAACCGCACCTGTCTTGACTTAGGGTTTTAGGCTTTCACCAAAAAACCCCAAAAAGAGAACCCACAACCCTACACCCGAAGCCCTTGCCAACTACTAAACCCTAAACCCTCCTAAACCCCATGAAGCAGCTGAATTCAGGCTCCGTGGTGGGCGTCTACAACGGAAAGCAGTACCCTGGCCTTTGCTCCCTTTGGGGTTTCAGGGTCAGGGCTTTGGAGCTTCCGGTTGAGAGTTTAGGGTTTAGGGTTTAGCCTCAATGTGACTTCCCGAAGCTGCAAAACCCTGATGGTGATGCACCCTGTGCTGCTGAAGGGAGGGCGAGGCAAGCTCTCTTTGGCCGGGGGTGGGGGGGAGAGAGGGATTGGAGGGGCGGTGTAAGACGGCTCGTTGGATTTCGGGTTGAGGGTGAGCAGGCGTTCTGTCGGCGTTTGGAAGCAAACCTCAACCCTACACCACCGGCCATCGGTCCTCAGCCCAAGGTACATCAACGTAGAGATCAAGCCTGCCGCGGCCTCTTCGGGCTATGGGTTCAGGTTTTAGGGTGGAGGGTATTTTCCGAAACCTAAACCCTAAACCCTAAACCCTGTTGGATTGGTGGGCTTCTTTGGAGTTTGGGCTTAAGTTCCTAGAAGGTTCTACGATTGAAACGCAGCTACGACAGGGGGATACCCTGATGTAACCCTAAACCCTAAACCCGAAACCCTAAACCCTAAACCCTAAACCCTAAACCCTAAACCCTAAACCCTAAACCCGAAATGATATAGGCCTCCTTCCTTCATAAGCCCCCAAAGGGCATGCATGCCAAGGAGATGATCGGCCATTACCTGGGCGAGTTCTCGATCACCTACAAGCGACTGGGTCTTTTAGGGTTTAGGGTTTAGGGCTTAGGGTTTAGGGCTTAGGGTTTAGGGTTTAGGGTTTAGGGTTTAGGGTTTAGGGTTCAGGGTTTAGGGTCTAGGGTCTAGGGTTTAGGGTTTAGGGTTTAGGGGGTAGGGCCTCGTTCTGCGTGACGAGTGCCGCCATTGGTACCTTTGGGGTTTACAGGTTTAGGGTTTCGGGCTAAGAGAGTTTAGAGGTTTTAGGGGGCAAGATTTGGGGTGTCGTTTGTGTTTTCCGGGTTCAGATGTGTACCATGTTTCAATTGCTAAGCAAACAGGGTGGTGGGTTTAGGGTTTAGGCTAGAGTTTAGGGTTTAGGGTTTAGGGCTAGGTTTAGGGTTTAGGGTGGATCCTGATGTAGTTACGGCCCTTTGCCAGGGTAACCCCGGCCTTGAACCAACGTCTCCCCCTCTACATGAGCCACCGTGCTGCCTGAGGCCCTTGGGGCCTCAGGATTTCTGGACTTCTTCGGGATCCAAAAGCTTATCCATAGAGACGAAACCCTAAACCCTAAACCCTAAACCCTAAACCCTAAACCCTAAACCCTAAACCCTAAACCCTAAACCCTAAACCCTAAACCACAGCCTTGAGCCCTCGGATCTGGACACCGAGGCCCATCAAGCACGGGCGAGCCGGAATGATGGGCGCTGGGCTTGGCCGGCCTTAGGGTTTAGGGTTTAGATGTTAGGGTTCAGGGTTTGAGGTTTAATTAGGGTTTAGGCTTTAGGCTTTGGGCTTTGGCGTTTAGGGTTAGGGTTTAGGGTTCAGGTTTCCGGGTTCAGGGTTCAGGGTAAAGGGTTTCTAGGGCTCCAAAGTTTCCCAAACGGCGTGAGCACGTTGGTGTGCAGGATTGCTTTGAGGGTCTGAACCCTAAACTTTGAGCCCTAGACCCGACTCATTTCCAGTCTCCTCGAACCGCACCTGCTTGAGGCAAGAACTCGCAGTTCGTGCCGCTGAAGTGAGGCAAGAGCCGAGCCAGAGGCTGGAGAGGCGGAGGAAGAAAGAGGCTACTAGCACTTAACCCTCAACCTTAAAACCTTGAACCCTAAACCCTAAACCCTACACCCTAAGCTCTAAAAGGATTTGGGAATTCAGGGCGTTCAGGGTTTCAGGGAGAACGAGAACCCCCCAAAACCCCAAGCGGCCCTCCCAAGCCCTTCAAGGGCCCCAAGCGCCCGCATCCTGCCTGATGCCCGTTCAGCCCTCAAGTTCGCCGGGCCTGACCCACACCCCAAGCCCTAAACCCTAAACCCTAAAACCTAAACCCCAAACCCCAAACCCTAAAACCTAAACCCTAAACCCCAAACCCCAAACCCTAAACCCTAAACCCGAAACCCTAAACCCCAAACCCCAAACCCCAAACCATGGGCGGGCTTTCACCTTGGGACGCTTGCGGCTTGTCGTTTGCGGAGCTTTCGGGGCCTAGGGCGGAGAGCAGCGCCAAGGCATTTGTCTGGGACTCAGGGTCTATAGGGGCTTAGGGTTCAGGATCTAGGGGTAAGGGTTTAGGGTTTAGGGTTTAGGGTTTAGGGTTTAGGGTTTAGGGTTTAGGGTTTAGGGTTTAGGGTTTAGGGTTTAGGGTTTAGGGTTTAGGGTTTAGGGTAACCTTAGACATGAAGACTCCGTAGGCTCTGCGGTTGTCAGGAATGCCGCGGAGGCCTCTTCTCAACGTTTGGCTTATAGCCGGGTGGAGTGGTCGCAGTCTCTACAACCCATACTCCTACTGTAGCATCGAAAGCCCAATTCTGACCCCAACCCCAGGAGCTGCTAAGCTTACATTGAAGTCCTATGTCGGCACTCTAACCCCATCCGCAGCCCCCCCCACCCCCAAACCACAGAATCGTAACGGCCCAGTTTACGGCTTCGTTTAAACGTTAAATCCAACATGTTTTTACCCACTACCCAATAACCTGCTGCCTTTTGTGGGTTTGCACCCCGAATTGGCCTGTCATGGCTGAGCAAGCCCGCGAGCTGGCAGTGCCGATTGCTGCCCACGCCCCGGATCAGTTGAAGTCTTCGGGTTGGGCTACCCGAAACACTAAACCTTAGTTTAGGGTTTAGGGTTTAGGGTTTCGGGTTTGGGGTGTGTAAAGCCTAAGTTCTTTTATTGCGGGTCTTGAGGGGTTATTTGGTTCTAGCGTTGACTTGGTTCGAGGTTTGTTTAAGGGCCTGTTTGCGCCCAGACCTTCAGGAGGTTTCGCTTGTTTCTCTTTCCGCCGAAGAAGGTGTGCAAGCTCAGGGTTTTAGGGTTTTAGGGTGTTCGGCAGGGATTTAGGGCCTCATTCTAGGGTTTTAGGGTTTTTGGGTTGTAGGGTTTTAGGGTTAGGGTTTAGGGTTTTTCTCAAACTGCTCTTTGATGCAGCTCCTGTGCTGCTTTCAATCTTGTCAGGTTCAGTCACAAAGGTAGATCCCAAATAGGGCCTAATTGGTGACGTTTCAAGGAAGTAAAGACTGCATAAACCCTAAACCCTAAATCCTAAACCCTAAACCCTGAACCCCAAACCCTCTATCCTAAATCTTAATCCCTAAACCCTAGACCCTAAACCCAAAACCCAACAAAGGTCCGGCCTTTCCGGCTCGGGTTCGAAGCCAATCCGGGAGTGGAAAATGCAATTGAAACACACGACGACAGTCGCTGCGTAGGAGTTTGCGTTTGGGGTTTAGCGTTTCCAGGGTTTACAGGGTTTATAGGGTTTATGGGGTTTTTAGGGTTTATGGGGTTTATAGGGGTTAAAGGGTTATAGGGTTTATCGGGTTTTTAGGGTTTATAGAGTTTACAGGGTTTACAGGGTTTATAGGGTTTATAGGGTTTAAGGTTTAACGGTTTAGGGTTCTTGGTATGGACGGTAGTGAGGTTGAGGCAACACGGGCTCCCCAAGCACAGCAACGCACAACCCACTCTGCCGGTTCGTTGCAGCACAATGGCAGCAAGACAGCTAGCGGAGCTCATCGGTTCTGAGTTCCTCGGCTGGTGCCCATGGCGAGCGAAGTTTGTGTGTGACGCTCTGGCATCGGCGGCACCCAACGCCGCACTATGGACCATCGTCAGCTTTGCGCCCCTTGCAGGCGAACCCTTGAAGGTCTTTCCTGGGAGCTCGATTGCGGCTGCCATTGCTTTGTGTCCGAAGTGGGGCATCGTCACACTCATGGCAGGCGAGCATGACATTGAAGACATCGTGGTCATCGACAAGCCACTGACCATCCGGGGCGGTGGTGTGCCCCAAGGAATTGACCAGCCTCTTGCCCGGGGAGACCATGGACAGCAGGCCACCAGAATCAGGGTCGCCTGTGGTGGCCGAGGAGCGTCTGGATCAGCTCTGTCATTTGCTGACGGATGCCGGGATGCCATGCTGTGCGACATCGACTTCTTTGAGACGCCTATGACATGCAGCGGAGGCACTCCTACGATCTCGCGGTGCACCGTGACTTCGCACAAGTTGTGCGTCGAAGCCACCAATAACACTCGCGTCACACTTCGGGACTGCTGGATTCGTGGAGATGGCTGGGACTCTGGCGCGACTGGTGTCTTGATTGCAGACGAGGCAGTGGTACATGCAGTGAATTGCCATTTCGACGATTTTCTAGACGACCTCGCCGATAAGCCCTGCGGAATCTATGTGAAGGACCGAGGCCACTGTCACGTTGAGCTCTGCAGATTCGAGAGTATCGCACGAGATGCAATGGTACGCTGCATACCACCTGCGACGGTCCAGCTGCAGAGCTTCACATATGTCGAGGATTGAGCGGCTGAGCAAAGACATGGCGCCTTGCTCTGAAGCAGACAGAAATCCCAACGATGTCTCTGAAAGGGTGACGGGTGTTCTCAAAAAGAGGCCACCACTTGGTGTAGACAGCGGTTTGCTCTTCGTGCCTGTCCTGCAACATCCATTGGCTCAAGGCATCAACCCTCGCATAGCTTCATAAACTAGGACCCAGAGTAGGCGCTAGTTCCCCTTTTTTAGGGTGTAGGTTCCCTTAGAATCCCCTTTTAAACCAAAGAGGGTACTCTGTTATTCCTAGGTTGCTCCTGGGTCTAGTGAACCCAGTGTCCGTTCATGTAGTTTCGTTGGTGGGCTCTGGGCAGGGTTCGAGAAGGAAGCTGGGCCCAAACCCAAACTTTTTGATGCAGGGGACCTTTCTCTCCATCTACTATATAGGGGTCGGAATGAGTACTAATGTATTCCCTTGTGGTCCCTTGATAGGTATTCTACAAGAACCCCCAAAATTCTATTCTAACCATTAAGGCCCCCATCGACCTTCATCCAGGAGCCCCTTTGAGCCTCAAGGGTTTTGGTTTTTGGGGAGCCCCCTGACATTCTTTGGGCATCCTGAATATGTCAGGGGGTGCCCAAGCAAAAGCCTTTGTCCTCCTTTACCTGCAGGCTACCACACCTCCTGTTCTACTAGTTGCTTAAGAACCACCAAAAAGTTCAAGAAGAAGAATCCATATAAGGAAGAATAGTGTGTGTCTGTGTGTGTGTGTGTGTGTTTTTTTTTTTTTTTTTTTTTTGGGGGGGGGCTTCTTCAGCAAGCAGTAGTTTTGGAGGTGTCCAAGTTTCTCCCTAAACCCTAAACCCAAGTTTCTCAACCCCAACATGCCGTAGCCCCGACGATGCTGTCAAGACCAGTGGGTGGGTTCATGAATCGCGAGGGAAGGGACATTCTCACCCCTCCAATGCACCCCCATTTTGGGGCCTCATGGTCGTTGGTGTTTGGGGTTTGGGGTTGGTGAATCAGTTGGGGTTTGGGGTTTGGGGTTTGGGGTTTAGCTGGGGTTTTCACAAGTTGATAGCATGAGTACGGCCAGCAAGGACTTCCCATTCTGAAAATATCAGGCATCTTCACAGCTCAGCGGGGGTTCTAACCTGATACATACATACTGCTCTATCAGCGTTGCATGATTCATGGATATGTATGATCTATGCTCGAAACCCTAAACCCTAAACCCTACACCCCAAACCCTAAACCCGAAACCCTAAACCCTAAGTGAACACGTAGAGGTCAGCGAGGTCTGGAGGTTGAACTCTCAAAGCAGCCTCAGGGGTCTGGGAGCCTCAATCCCTGAAGCGGTATACGTACACAGAATCATCCCTAAACCCTAAACCCTAAACCCTAAACCCTAAACCCTAAACCCCAAACCCTAAACCCTAATTAAACCCTAAACCCTAAACCCTAAACCCAAATTACAAAGGTCTAAGCCTCAATCCCCGGAGTCCGAACCTTAGACCCTAGGAGAGCTTCATCTTAAGCAACCCCAAAAGAGCTCCAAGACCTTCAAAAACACATGGGTTTTGGGGTTTCTGTAGACAGCAAACCTCATACCTGGTTTTGATAAGACTTGTAAGACTTCTGAGACTCCTTAAGATCTCTAAGGCTCCCCAGCTTTTCAAACCCCCAAAGCCACTAAACCCGGGTTGGCACTGAGGAGGAGGCAGCGCACGAAGCCACCGAACCACATGCGGAAGAGGCGCGGCATGAAAGTGAAGAGGATGACGTTCGGAATATTGGGATTCGGGTTTTAGGGTACCCTGCGCCTGCAAGCCAAACTCTAGCAAGGTTTCCAGTGTCAGTGTTTGGGTTCGAGATGGTTTTGGTTTGGGGGTTTCTGTTTGGGTCTTGGTTGAGCGTGGCGAATCACGGCAGACGACTTGCTACAGACGACCTGCCACAGAGTTGAACCCTAAACCTAAAACCCAAAACCATGCAAAAGTCAGGATTATTTCATATTTTTGGGCTCGAGTTCGGAGACTCCCTTTGACCCACAGCCTCAGATCATGAGTAGCATAGGAGCCTATTTAGCTCGTGCGTTTTTTGGGCAGTCTGTTTTGGTAGAAGGGCCTTATTAAGGGGATATGCTGGTGACTATAGGCTTTTTGTTATTTTGGCAGGGTGCTGCTAGAGATTTCCTTGTTGGACGCATAAGTGCCCCGGAATCCTAAGCCCTAGATTCTCGGAATGGCATCGGAAAGCCCACTTTGCAAAGTCCTTGCGCCTGTGCGAGAGCGACCAGGGGAGCTTCCCACCTTCAAGGTGGACGCCGCGAAAGTCACGGACGTTTTCCTCGATTTCGATGGCACCCTAACCGCCTCAAACAAAGAGGGTGTGTCTGGATATGTTCTTCCCTTGCTTGAGAGATGTCGCGGGCTTCGCGTTTCAGATTGTGCGCAGGACCCCCAAGGATCCGAGGGCTCAGAAATAAACTGGAGTGGCCTGGACGAACGCATGGCAGCTGCAGCTGATGCTGTAGACTTCTCCGACAGCTCCGTGCTTGGAAGCCGCGAGGTTCGTGAGCAGCTACAAAACTCGCTGCAGCGGTTGGTGTCGTCTGGTATCCGAGTACATCTGCTCACTATGGGTACACCTCAGACCTCTAAGGCGCTCTTGGGAGCAGCTGGCTACAACCTGGATCTTTTCAGCAGCTTTCTTGGGCCGGCCGACATGGCGAGGAACCAATCGCTGCGCCATTTGTTTGAGAATGGTGACAAGGATGGGATGGAAGCAGCTGAGGGTTTCTGGTTTGATGTTCAGGATGATATCGATGCCTTGCATCACTTGCAAAAGACAGGAGAGCAGAACCCTCTCCTTCAGCGCATAATGAGCATGGAGAAGCGACTCTCGAAAGCTGCGCTGATTCTTTCCATTGCTGGCAAGAACGGTGTACTGGTCGATGACAACTACTCAAAGAACATCTTCGATGCACATGAGAAGGATGTCATGTACATTCACATAGACCCGGAAGGCGTGCTGAGCACGAACTCAGCAATGAAGCGCCTGGTCAACCGGGTCGAGGCCTGCACTGACCAGGAAGCTGGCGGAAGATCCCCAAAGCGAACGAGGCTTCAAAATGGCCAGGAATCAGCTTCCTCACACGGGGGCCGCAGCTTGGTAGCCGCAGCCTCGTAGCGAGATTGCCAGCCATCTACGCATATGAAAGATGTCTCCGCACGTTTAATTTTTAGGGCGTTAAATTTGGTTCACTTAGGGGGAATGGGCGTCTAGGGGGTTAGGATTAAGGGTTCAGCGCTTGGGGGTTCTGCTCCCTAAACCCGAAACCCTGAACCTGTTCGGTTAGGGGTCTGGGGCCCTTGGGGTGTAGGCTTTAGATGTCATATAGACTCCTACATAGTCGGATCCCTTCACAATCACCTAATTCCGGAGCCTTTCCCCAAGCAGTTTTCGTGCTTGCAGGCCACTGCCCACGCTCGAAATATCTGGGCTCGAGGGTGGGAGATTTCTTAAGGACTTTCCGATTGCCGAGGGTTTTTTTGGGGTCTCGCCGTGTTCCGAAAGCAGTCAGAGCATGTAACCGCCAACCCTGAAGCAAAAACCTTGCGGGTGTTGTAAGCTAACAGACATCCAAAGAAGTGACTCAACAGGAATCACAAGCAAGCCTAAATGCAGGCGAGAGAGAGAGAGAGAGAGAGAGAGACCAACAGAACGTGAAGGGTTACTCTTGAATTCAGGGAAGACAAAGACAGAGAAAGAAGGAAGGAACGAAAGAAAGGAGGCTGTCTCGGGTCCAGCACCATTGCTTCTGCCCGGAACCAGTAGCCCGGCCAAAACCAACCAGGTTGCAGCTCTCTCCATTCATCATGTTCTCCGTCGCTTCGCAGGCTGTTGAATCTAATAGGCAAGGTGAATCTACTTGCTTGACACGATCGCAACTTCGCAAGTGTGAGGGGTGGAGTAAGAGAAGCTGCGCCGACGACAAACCAAGCCAAAAGCAAACCGGATTGCCGCATGGTTTGCTGCGGCACAGCCGGGTTCTGGAGCGCACTGGTACCTAAACCCTAAAACCTAAACCCTAAGCCCACCCTAAACCCTAAACCCCGAGAGCATCTTGGGTCGGGACATGGCCTCCACGCCTTTAAACCCTAAACCCTAAACCCTAAACCCCAAACCCTAAACCCTAAACCCCAAACCCTAAACCCTAAACCTCTCGCCAGGCAGGAGACAACGCCCTCAAGGATCGAGCCTGGGAGCTTTGAAGGTGTTGTGATTCTGGGCTGAGGTTCTATTTTGGTTTAGGGTTTAGGGTTTAGGGTTAGGGTTTAGGGTTTAGGGTCTAGGGTTTGGGTCTTGTGTTTACGGGCTCTATGGCTTCCTTAAGGTATAAGGTTTAGCCTCTTGAGGTGTGGGTGTCTTGGGGTTTTGTTTAGGCTTTAGGGTTTCCAGGCTTCAGGGTTTATTGAGCATGTTGGGGAATTCTCAAAGCCCTGCAGTTTTCCCCGAAACCCGTCTGCCCCTACACCCTATAAACGGCTATAAATTCTATAAACTCTATAAGCTCTAGCAACCTTCTGAGCCATGCAAACCCGTTAAGCCCCATTATCGCTGTAAGTCCAAACCGTGTAAACCCTTGAACTCTATAAGCCCTAAAAACCCCAAACCCCAAACCCTGCCTTAACCTTTTCTTAACCCTAAACCCTAAGCCCTATAAGCCCTATAAGCCCTAAACCCTGAACCCGAAAACCTAAACCCTAAACCCTAAACCCTAAACCCTAACTCCTTGGTGAAGAAGGAGCTCCTGGATGAGCCATGGATCAGCCGCCGAACGCTCGTGGACTTGACCCTGCGCTCGCAACCTCAAGCCGTGAACCCCATACTACGTTGAGGGTGTAGGGTTTAGGTATGTAGTTCAGGGTTTGGGGGTTTTAGGGTGCTCTGAGGTGTAAGGAAACTTGGGCCCCTAAACCCTAAACCCCAAACCCCAAACCCCAGACCCCAAACCCCAAACCGCAGACCCTAAACCCTAATCCCTAAACCCCAAACCCCAAACCCTAAACCCTAAACCCTCAACCCTAAACCCGAAACCCTAAACCCTAAACCCTAAACCCTAAACCCTAACCCAGATTTTGGTGCCACAAACGCCGCCAGCCAAGGATCATCATCGCGCTGCTCGGGGTCTTGCTTGGCTTGCTGTCAGTTCCATACTGCGCCTCGCCTGCCCCTAAGGGTGTAGGGTTTAGGGTGTAGGGTTTAGGGTTTAGGGTTTAGGGTTTAGGGTGTGGGGTTTGGGGTTTGGGGCTTAGGGTTTATTTCGGGTCTGAACCCTGAGCCCTGAAACCCTAAATCCTGAACCCTACATACACCCTTCACCAAAACCTCCCTAAATGTTGAAAAGCAAGCTATAAACCCTAAACAGCAATTAAGCGCTAAACCGGGGGCAGGGTCGAGAAAACATCACGTTAAGCGTCGAGTAAACATCACGTTAAGACTCCAGTGCACATCCATCCCCAAGTCGAGCCCCTCCCCAGGCTGCCCACCATGCATCTCTTCGGACCCCTCAAAACGCATTTGGTGTTTTATGCCTTCTAAATGGCGGGGCTTCCCGCAATGCATTGTCCAGTCGCTGGAAAATGCATGGGGCCTCCTCCGGGCGCCACGAGACACCAGAGGCAAGGCAGTGGTGCTTCCGGAGGTTTCCCATGCATTTTCCAGTCCCCGCAAAATGCACAAGGCCCTGCCTCAACTGTATACGGGTAGGAAAACTTCAAAAGCAACGTTCAAAAGAAACGTTTCGAACAATTGAAGTTTCAATTGACTGTATTCACAGAAGACAACCTGAGTTTACAGATCAATACGAGAAGCAGAAATCTTAGTAGAACAGTTATATGTATGAACTCGGGCTATTTGATGTGACTAATGATTGGTTTTGAACCACAAAAAAAAACCAAGTGTCATTGAAAAGTCTGTCGGCTTGAAGGGAAAAACACCTCCGGAAAATAAGGAATAGGTCAGGGACGATTCTAACCCTTAACCTCAAACCCTAAACTAACAGCCCAAAAGAAACCCAGAACCAATCCCGAAACCCTGAACCCCTAAACCCTAAACCCTCATCGGCCAATGCAAGTCTGTTCGGCCAAGCAGTGTTTTCTGTGGTATCTCGATCTATCTGCTGCACAAGGTTGGCCATGTGAGAATCACACGTCATTCTTTTGAGATGCTGCGTGCGACGGCGTGTGCGCATCACACTTCATTCTTTCGGGGTGCTGCACACGACGGCACTTCTGCAGTGTGGAGCACAGGGTTTTCTCCCAAACGTGGTTTTCCCTGTGCCTTGAGGAGGTGGGTTGGGTGGAATCATATGTTAACTTGCTGCAAGCTTGTTGCAAGCCCCATGGACCGCACACCGAGGGAACCCTCAAAGTGTCTCATGTTTTGAAAAACCACAAGCAAACCCTCGGGAGTACGAGATTATGTCCTCAACCCTAAACCCCAAAAAACCCTAAACCCCTAAACGGCCCCTAAACCCGAAACCCTAAACACCTTAACCCTAAACCCTGAAAGTGTCTTTGTGTTAAACTTTAAACAAGGAAACCCTAGCAAGTACGAAAACCTGTCCTAAACCCTGAACCCCAAGCCCTACACCCCTGAACGACCCCTAAACGCTAAACACCTAGATGTCCTTTTTAAGCCCTAAGGAGTACGAAAAATTGTCCTAAACCCTGAACCCCAAGCCCTAAACCCCTAAACAGCCCCTAAACCCTAAACACCTAAATGTCTGGGCCTTGCAGCCCCAAGAATAAACCCCTGTTTCGGAAAAAAACCAAAGCTCAACAAGAAACCGAATGAGTTGGTTAAAATAAGGGTAAAACAAGGTAGCACGCGCGCTGGAGTGCCCTGCGTTGTGTTGGCATGCGTTGGGTGTGGTTAAGTTGGAAAGTGTAAAAAACCGAGGTTTTTGACTCATTCCGGTTTGTGGAACCAGGAAGACACGCCACTGAGCCCTCGAAGGGCGGGCGCTTTTTCTGGAAAATGAGTTTTTCGCCTGGGCGGGAGCCTTGTTTTGAAAGGCAGGAAAACCGAAAAGTTGTGTATACCATGTTTTAGGTGTTTTGAGCTTATTTGTAAGGATTTTTGAGGGTACTTTTTGGGGCTTGCATGTCCTTGTGTATGTGTCGGGCCCCCGAACTTCAGAGTTCAGAAGGAAAGCACAGATCTTCGAACCTTTATCTTGTCAGGGCAGTGAGGACTCAAGTTCAACACGAAGTTTGCGGAAGACAGTGGCTCCACGGCAAGGGTCGAGGGCCGAGGGTCAAGGTCTTAACATGGATATTCCCAACATGGATATTCCCAACATGTATATTCCCAACATGTTTATTCCCAACATGGATATTCCCAACATGGATATTCCCAAGATGGATATTCCCAACATGGATATTCCCAACGCCCCCCCCCCCCCCCCCCCCCCCCCCCCAACCCCCCAAGCTGGAAACCCCAGGAAACGCAGGGCACACGAGGGTGCCTCCTAGCTAAAACAAGCAACCAAATGAAAAAACATGGACGAAAAAACTGCCATTTTAACATAACAACCCAAAAACACAAACATAGCCGATAGCAAAACCAATAACACAAAGAAACAGGAAAACAAAAACGTGGGAAGGCACTACAAAAACCGATTCCAACAAAATAGGTGGCAAGATAAAAAAGGAGGGCGCGCACTGGAGTCTTAGCACGGCGCTTTTTGCGACACGCGACGGGTCCAGTAAGCATTCACGTTAAGACTCGAGTGCGCACCCAAGGGCGCACACTGGACAGAGAACCCCCGAGAACCCCCCGTAGGATGCACACTCGAGTCTTAACGTGACGTTTTCTTGACCCCCCTTCCTCCCCTCCCCCTCTGCGCAGCGCCCAGTACGGAACTTCAGCGTTACGCTCGTAAACAATCCTAAGCTTTCCTAAAGCCTGAGCGCTTAGCCGATGCTGCGTTAAGGCAGGTTTTGTTGCGTGTGGTATGTTTGCTTTCTTTGGGAAAACGTTAGCTACCAAGCCTATACGATCAAATCTTAAATCTCACACTTTACGCCCAAGCCTCCTGCCGCTCCACCCAAACCCTACAAGCCGGTGCTACCGCCCCTGCAAGTGGCAGCTTGTAAGATCACCCCCACGCCGCTTTCCAA